CCTGAGGTCACTAGTGTGATGACAGAATTGTCCAAACAGACACAGTTTAGTGTCAGCATTGGTTTAACTTTGTCTTTGCAGATTTCAGTTTATCTTGTTAATTGTAGGATTTCTTAAATCTTCCACACAGATCCCCCAAAGGCACATGTGACCCATCACCCCACACTGAAAGGAGACGGCACCCTGAGGTGCTGGGCCCTGGGCTTCTACCCTGCTGAGATTTCCATAACCTGGCAGAGGGATGGGGAGGAACAGACTCAGGACACGGAGCTGGTGGAGACCAGACCTTCTGGGGATGGAACCTTCCAGAAGTGGGCAGCTGTGGTGGTGCCTTCTGGGGAGGAGCAGAGATACACATGCCATGTGCACCATGAGGGGCTGAAACAACCCCTCACCCTGAGATGGGGTAAGGAGGGTGTGGGTGCAGAGCTGGGGTCAGGGAAAGCTGGAGCCCTCTGAAGACCCTGAAAAGGATCAGGGCTGAGAGCTGGCATCATGACCCCTGACTTCCCCTTCTGTCCTTCCCTTCCAGAGCCTCCTCAGTCCCCTGTCCACATCTGGGCAATCATTGCTGCTGTTGTAGCTGTGATCACTGTAGCTCTGGGGGCTGTTGTGTGGTGGAGGAGGAGAAACACAGGTAGGAAAGGGCAGGTCTGGTTCTCTCTCAGCCCCTTTTAGAAGTGTGCTCTGCCTCACTAATGGGAAACATTCACACCCCTCATTGCTCCTGTCTCTGACCTGGGTCTGCTGTCAGTTCTGGAAACTTCCTAGGGTCGGGTCTTCCCTGATCTCTCACAGCTTTTCTTCTCACAGGTGGAAAAGGAGGGAACTATACTCCAGCTTCAGGTAAGTGTGGGGAGCGGGATTGTCCATGAGGCCCTTGGGGTGAAGCTGGTTATTTGGGGAGCTCTGCCAACCCATAATACCTCCTCCAGTGAAGTCTTCTAGAGGCCATGTTTTCACCTTCCCATGACTATATATAATTTCAACCTAGGCAGGGACAGTGCCCAGAGCTCTGATGTGTCTCTCCCAGGCTGTGAAGGTGACACTCTGGGGACTGATTTGGGGAGGGGAAGTGGACATGATTGGGTTGCAGTAACTCCCAAAACCCCCTTTGAGTGAGTGGTGGGTTTTGGGATGTTGTCTTCACAGTGATTGTTCATTGACTCTTGTTTGTAGCGTGAAGACAGCTGCCTGTCCAGACAGAGTGACAAAGATGTGCTCAGGTCTCTCCTGTGACATCCTGAGCCCCTCAGTTCACTCTCAGCAACAGTGTCTGATGTTCCCTGTGATCCTGTGGGCTCAATATGAAGAACTGGGGAGCCACACACCCCCTGCACACCAGGACCCTGTCACTGCACTGCCTGTGTTCCCTTCCACAGCCAACCTTCCTGGTCCAGCAGACAGGAGGGGACATCTCCATCCTGTCACCTCCATGCTGCCCTGAGCTGCAGCCCCCGACTCCCCACTGAAAATAAGAATCTGAATGTGAACTTGATGTTCACGTCCTTGATCTGACAGGTGGATTGGCAGGTAAATTAAAGGATTGAAATACTTAGATCTTGGGGAGGAAATAAATGGCCGCATGGAGAACCTTCCAGAATCTGTGATCTTTGTGCCATGTCTATCTGGTGGACAAGATGAGGCTGTGGGAGCTGAGTGTGAACAGGACTGTGCCCAGGTGGAGCTCAGTACATTGTTGGCTGTGACATGGTCACTCCTCAGCTCTGTCACCTCCTGGCTCTGTTCTCTTCATCACTTGAACCACATGCTGAGAGTCTGTGATCACAGGGACACTGGTATGACAGAGCCTTGTCCTGTCCCCAGGATTGTGAGCAGCCAGGGCTGCTGTGACTGGTCAGCCTGGGCTCTGACCTGGCCACGGCTCTTCACCCCGTCTTCTCTGTTTATTTCTTGTCTTTTTAGTTTGTAGGAGGACTAGGCCTGTTCTTGTTCCTGTGAGTGGTCCCTGCCTCCTTATCCCTTGGGGTCCCTGAGTGACAGCATTAAGAGGTGTTTGTCCATCATTGTCTCATCAAGGCCCAGCTAAGGCCCTGACTCAGGAGACTGTGGGCTGAGAAGATGAACTTCAGTCTCCTGAGCTTCTGCCTCCTTCCAGGCCCCTCTCTGGAGATTCTCTCCTTCCCCATCTTTCAGAATCTAACCCAGGTTGTAGGATGGGCAGAGAGGAGGGATCCACAGGGTCTCATCTCAGTCTGTCCTGTTGGAGCTGGGTTCTGCCCAAGGTCCCCTCTCCCTCCCTGGCTCTGGGAATCCTGGTGCTGCCCCCAGTGGTGACTCAGGGATTTTCAGGCTGAGTCTATTGTAGAAATAAGTTTATTTAAAAGAAATGCTTGCCTTCTTGTGGGTGGGAGTCAGGGTTGGGAGGAGGAGGAGGAGGCAGGGTGGGTGGGCAGAGGGAAAAGGGGGATCTTTGACTGGTGTTAAAATGAATGACAAAAGATTTTAATAATCAAAGAAAATAAAAGACATATTCCAGGGACTGCAGAGATGGCTGAGGAGTTGAGATCACTTGCTGCTCCTGCAGAGGACCTGCCTTCAGATCCCAACACCCCCATCATGGCTCACACCATCCATATCTCCTGTTCCATGGCTTCCAGTGCCCCTGTGGACACCAGATAGGCACATGGTACAAACACATACAGCTAAGAAAAACACTAATAGACATAAAATTAATGAACCTTTTATAAAATAGATTGTGGGAACACCAGAGATGGAAATTACTTCACCCCTGCTCCGGTTCCAGCCCCTGCAGTTTTCTCTTCTACCTTTGTGACCTTGAGTCAGGAGCTCCAGGAACCTTAGCTGAGATGTTTGAAGACTAAGAAGGTGACAATCTATCACGATGCTGCCATCTTTGTCTTGTGAGGGATGATGTCTTTCAGTGCCTGGGATGCAGCAGACATTCATACTCAATAAATGTTTGATGAATGAATACAAAATAAATAAGATTATGAATCAAAGACAGAAAGGCAGGTGGAGAGGGAGGGAGGGCTTTGCTGAGGGGAAGCTCAGGTGACTCTGACCTCAGTGTGAGGGGACCTGGTGCTTCACTTGACACACCAGCATGTGGCCTGAGGTTGTATTAATCAAGGGAACTTCTGTAGAAGAGGGAGGTGAGGGTGTGAATTTTCCTCTAGACTGAAACATCCCTGCTGGAGACAGGAGGAGCTGATGAGGCTCAGGAAACACAAGAAGCTACAGGTTCACGGAGCTGACACATTGTAGCGCTTCCCTCTCAGGGTTAAACCAGTTCCTGAGGGAGAGGAGACTGTTGAGTGGAGCTGCTAGGAGCTGTGCAGGGGACTGCAGTGATGCAGCTGGGTGAGTGACATGCACACTGGGGTGGGCAGTTCAATGGTTATCCCCTGACTCACCCAGGCTCCTGTGAGTGACCAGTGAGCTCAGGGTTCACCAAGCTGACCCTGGATGGATGTTTTCCTTGGTCAGCTGTCACTGTCTCCATCTGGGGTGGAGGAAATCCACTCCTCAAGCAGGGGACACAGCAGTGGCCATTGTGATCAGCCCCCAGTGTCTGTTCCAGATGTGAGATGAAGTCCTGTTTCTAAGACACACTGGGAAGGGATACAGAGTTCCTGGTTTCCTGGAGCAAGTGCTGTGGTGGGAAGATGCCTGCGACATAGTGTAATGGAATCAACAAAAACAGGTTGTCTCAGGAGGTGGAGCGTGGAAGGGAAGGTGTCCACAGTGCAGGGGAGATGAACAGAGCAAAGAGATACTGTTTTTCAAGATTTACTATTTTTTTAGCGTGGCATGCTGGCTCATACTTTATTCCTAGCATTTTCATAGCAGAGGAAGAGGAAGAACAGAGTCAGGAGTCGTCAGCCAGACACAGAGGAAGCAAGATAAGAAGGTCTTACTGAGAAAAGGTACCAAAGGTGAATCTCTGTGAGGTCAAGTCTAGCGTGTTCTACATAGTGACATCGTCTCAAAAATTATTTTTCTAATTATGTATTTGTGTTAATTACTTTTCTGTTGCTATTATAAAACACATGACTGTAGCTGGAGTTTTCTCTCTGGGTCCCGCCAAGTCCCAGCAGTCCCTTAGCCCACTTATAAAATAAACATACAGACGCTTTCATTATTTTAAACTGCTTGGCCATTAGCTCAGGCCTGTCATTGTGTAGCTCTTGCTCTTATATTTAGCCCTTTTCTGTTAATCTGTACTTTGCCACGTGGCTCATGGCTTACTGGTACCTTACATCTTTGTTGTCCTGGCGGCAGCTGTAGGCAGTCTTTCCCTCTGGCTTCCTATTCCCTAAATTCTCTCTGTTAGTCCCCCCCATACTTCCTGTCTGGCTATTGGCCAATCAGTGTTTTATTTATACAGAGCGATATCCACAACACTTGACCAAAGCAATATTTAGAAGAGTTTGTTTGGGCTACAGCTTCAATGGATAAGATTGCATCACAGCAGGGAAGCAGGGTAAGATCGGCTGGCATGGTGGGGGAGCAGGAAGCTGAGAGCTCACACCTTCAGTGGCAAACAGGAAGCAGAGAGACCAAAATGGAGGCAGGTTTTTTTTTGACTCTCACAGCCCTCCCCCAGTAGTATACTTCCTCCGGCAAAACCACACCTCTTAAACCACCACCTACCCAAATAGCACCACCAACTTGGGAACAAAGTTCAACTACCCAACACTATGGGGACATTTCTCATGAAATCCACCACAATGGATGTGTGGCATTTGCATGGGTGTGGTCAGGTGAGTGCTGGGTTCCTGGAGGTCAGAAGAGGGTGCCAGAACCCCTGGGTGTGGGTGCTGAGAACTGAACTTGGTTCTGGGTAGGAGCAGAAGGTGCCCTCAGTGTTTCAGCCTTCCCCAAGGATGCTGTTTAAACAGGTGTTCAGTGTGGTGTCATTCAGAGGGTGACATCTGAGGAAAGTTTTGAAGATCGTAAAAATAAATCAGTCTTTGATTTATTCCTTTCCAATTTGTATCCCCTAGATCTCCTTCAGTTGTCTGATTTCTCTAGTTAGAATGCCCAGTCCAAAGTGAATAGTTATGGAGAGAGCACACAGCCCTGTCTTGTTCCTGATTTTAGTGGAATTGCTTTGAGTTTCTCTCCATTTAATTTGATGTTGGCTGTAGGTTTGTTGTAAATTGCCTTGATTATGCTTAGGCAGGTCCCTTGTATCCCTGATCTCTCCAAAACTTTTTTGATGAAGGAGTGTTGGATTTTGCCAAAGGCTTTTTTCAGCACATAAAGAGATAATCATGTGTTTTTTCTTGTAGTTTTTTGTTTATTTAATAATAATAATAATAATAATAATAATAATAATAATGTTGTTATTTTTTGTTTATTAAGACAAGGTTTCTCTGTGTAACAGCCCTGGCTGTCCTGGAACTCACTCTGTAGACCAGGCTGGCCTCAAACTCACAGAGATTCACCTGCCTTTGCCTTCTCAGTGATGGAATTAAAGGCAACAAAGCCTGCCTTAGTTTGTTTATTTTCAAGTATTTTGTTGAGTATTTTTGCATCTATGTTCATAAGGGAAATTGGGCTATAATTCACTTTCTGTGTTGAATTTTTGTGTGGTTTGTGTAGCAGGGTGACTGTGGCCTTATAAATTGAATTTTTCAATGTTCTTTCTGTTTCTATTTTGTGGAATAATTTGAAGAGTATTGGAGGTAATTCTTCTTTGTATATCTAGTAGAATTCTGGGCTAAAAAGTCTGGTTCTGGACTTTTTTGTTGGGAGACTTTTAATGACTGCTTCTATTTCTTTAGGGATTATAGGACTATTTTAAGTTATTTGTCTGATCTTGATTTAACTTTGGCAAGTGATATTTATCAAGAAAATTGTCCATTTTTTTTTTTTTTAGATTTTCCAATTTTGGGGAGTACAGGTTTTTAAAGTATGACCTAATGCTGTGGAATAATCCTTTCCTACACTATGAATATGTATTACTCTCACTGGTTAATAGAAAGCCCACAGCCCAGTAGCTGGGCAGGAAGTTAGGTGAGAAAGCCAAACTAAGAATGCTGGGAAGAAGAAGAGCAGAGTCTGGAGTCGCCAGCCAGATACAGGGGAAGCAAGATGAGGTCTTACTGAGAAAAGGTACCAAGCCACAAGGCTAAATAGATAAGAATTATGGGATAATTTAAGTGCAAGAGCTAGTTAGTAATAAGCCTGAGCTACTGGCCAAGCATTTACAATTTAAAGATTTATTTATTTATTATGTATACAGTGTTCTGCCTGCATGTATGTCTGCAGGCCAGAAGAGAGTGCCAGATCTCATTACAGATGGTTGTGAGCCACCATGTGGTTGCTGGGAATTGAACTCAAGACCTCAGGAAGATCAGTCAGTGCTCTTTACCTCTGAGCCTTTTCTCCAGCCCACATTTATAATTTATATTACACCTCTGAGTCAATTATTTGGGAGTGGCTGGTATGGCAGAAACTTCTGTCTACAACCTAATGATTCTTACATTTCCTTGGATTCTGTTGTTATATGCCCTTTTTATTTCTCATTTTGCTAATTTGGATATTCTGTTTCTTTTACTTAGATTGGATAAGGGTTTGTCTATCTTGTTAACTTTCTCAAAAAACTAA